TAGGAACCTGAACAAATACAAACACTTTTGGAATTACTTGTCTGCAAGCTCACTCCCCAACAGCTCCTTGTACTATTTTTGAAGCAGGAATGTGAGCTGAAGCTTCTGAAAACTGATGTCAAAGACCTGAAAACCCCAAACTTGGTCCAGGAACGTACACATGAAAAACACCTCTCTACTGCACTCAAGACTATTCCTTTCCAACTAATTAAGTAAATGTTCTCTTAGTAGGTGTACATCTTCCCCAGCTCTTTATTTCATGCAAAATCATTTCTTCCAATTATAGTTTTCTTTTACAATTTGAATACAAAACACAGAAAGGTGTGCCAAGACTACATGCCAGCCTCATTTATGAAACTAACAGCTTGACAACCCCTTAACTACACCAGTGACATACTGGTCACTAAGAGACCAGTAGGAAAGAAGGGAAATTTTTTAAAAGGCAACTCACTAAGTCAGGGCTGGCAATAAAACAGAATACGAGATAAACAATGGCTTTTAGCTTTAACCTTAAAGTCTAGCACTGAATGCAACTGAATGCACTCTGGTTTACCAGAGTGGGGCCTGGATTTACAAGTTCATTTGTAAAGCAGCAAAGCTACAGTCACCCAACTCTTGTGTCAACATAATCAAAATTTATCAGAAATTATCACACTTTGTTGTGCTATGAGAAAATTGTTTGCCCTGGGCTTTCAGTCTGAAAAATAAGTCTTTGAGGAAAGAATACAATTAATTGATCTAAGTACTGATGAATACAGACATTGTCATGCAGATTTCAAAAACACTTCCTTCCCTTATTCATGATTTAAGATGTTATTAAAATCACATACCTGCCCTGATCAGTAAACTTAAGAAGTGATTTAAAAAGGAATGCAGCAATAAAATTGAGGCCCCACTGCTTAAGATATAAGCTAGTAGTCATTCTAAATTTGGGCTTTGTAAAATCTAAACCATTCCTATTTTCATTTGCCAGTGTTGTATCTGTATTGAAGAATCCTACAGTTATGCAGATAAGGGTAAAATGGTACTCATTAATTACTTTCTACAGTTAAATTTAAAGGGCAATAAAACTAGTTGATACTATAAAGGATACTTTCTTTATAGACCACGGGACTGAGCAAGGCCTATCACTTTGCAGTTATGGAGAATCATAGAGTAGAACTGATTTACATTTGACTATATACTACTGTTATTTGCATTTCACAAGCTCTTTATGTGCTTCTCACCAATTTGCTCTCTGGGTTAAAAAGAAAATTTTCTGGGCAAATGACACAATGACTCATTAAAACCCTTTAGGCATGAAGATGCTGTTAAAACATTCATGCCACTTCTTTAATGATATTTTCCACATCAGTGTGTTTTCAGTGTAAGGCAGACATTTACCAGGGCTCTGTTTGGTGCCACATGTACTCCTGAATCTCTTGCTTATCTTATCAGCTCAGAAATTGCTACTGACATCACGGGAGCAGTTATTTACATATACAGAATTAAGAGTTTGTTCTATTACTGTTAACTCCCATTTTCAAACAAAAAAGATAAGCCATTTACTTTCTTTTTTAGAGCACAAATAATTGTACATGAAGACAACAGCATTGTAAAGTACCTCCCACGTCCCTGTAAATGTTAAATGGAAGTTTATCAGATGTTGAATAAAAGCTGATTTAACCGAAGCATCAGATATACATATCTTTGGTAATTCAATTGCATTTTATTGTCCACTGTAGATAAGATCAGTTTTCCTGTATGTATTCAGAATGGAGACTTAGAGAAGCAAAATAGCTATACCTAGTATCAATTTTTTTTTTAACTGCTTTATATTGCAGTCTTAGGTTTCTCATTTTCTTCACCTAGATTCATTTTGTAGTCTCATAATAGCTTGAGAAAAAGTCATATACCAAAATCAGAGATTAGCTTCAGGCATAAGTTGGTTCTTCTGAGCAGCTGTTTCATTGTGGCTTGCGGTTCTGTTTGGTTTTCTGTTTTCAGTGTTCACAAACTAATTAGTTACATGGAAATTAAACTTCTGCTGGCATCTATGGGGATTCAAATAAAGGCAGAGGAATGGCAGGGGTGAAGCTTGCAAAACGTTCTTAAAACATCCTTCCCTCTTATTTTCTTTAAAGAAAAAAAGTTTTAAAAAAAAAAGATTGCACTGCTTTACTTAGATTTAGTTTAACCAGAAGTATTTCAAGACCAACATTTTTTCCAATCTGTGGTTCACAACATATCTAACTTATTTTACTAATACATAAAATTGAAGATACTGCAATATGAAACAGTTCATTTCTTGAGCACTATGACTTTGTAATATTAAGTAAGTACATGGTTGTGAGCAGGCATGTGTGAGGGAGGATGAGAGAAGGGGACAGGTGGGGCAAGAGACAGAAAGAAAACACACAGACACACACACTCTACAATCCCAAAGAAGTGTAGACTCCTTCAAGATGTGAACATTTCAATACTCTTTGACAATAACTGTCAAAAAGCCACTGTTCAAAAATTTTTTTAAAAAAGGGGAGATGAAAGGAAGTAAAAAAAATTCCCTCCAGATACATTTCCAGTTACTAATTGTCAAGACAACTAAAAGTCGCAAAATAAGAGACCACAAAACTGCAGGTCAACCTTCCCAGCAAGTGTATCAAAGAAGGGAACAGCTGTAAATTCGACACAGTACTATCACATTGATATTCCAGTTTCTCCCCAGCTCCAAGTTAAGCTCAATAGAAGATCAATCAGCAGTGAAATTAAGCTTTCTGTCCCATCTTTATAAGGTATACAGACCATAGCAAGTTTTAAATGAGGAGGTCCAGCCTCCTGAACAGTTGCACTTGTCTGCTATCACATATGTTGCCTGGCAGAGTAGAACATCATTAAACACTAAACTCTCTAAAGATAAACTAATATGCCTTTTTTACCATAAGGAAATGGCATTTATACAGAGAGCTAGAGAGTCACGAGTACTTCTACCACTCAAAGTCCTGATGACCAAAGAAAAGATTTCCAATATGTATTTTCTGTAGTGAAGTAATCCAATCAAACCACAGGAAAATTCCAATGTAAACAATGCAAACACAGAAACCTTTTCCACATTAAGATGTCATGACTTCTAAGCAAGATCTTTGGCTTGATGACATTTCATCTAGAAGCACACCAGATGTTTTATTTTGGAAACTGTAAGAAAGTTCACCATCTTTCTGAAGACTTCTTTTTCTCTTACCTAATGATTTTACACCTAGCATTACACTACCAGTGTTCTGATGGCAGATTTTTATTTCACACGTGCACAGTACCTAGAGAAGAAAAACGTTGTGTTTTCTGCGCATGTTGTTTTTCCATAGTATATAATACTGTGGAGTCATCCATCAGTGAAAACTGACTGCAATTAGCTTTAGGCTCCAGTGATATGTTAGTAATTTTCAAGAATCAAAATTCACAAAAGAATAGGAGTTCTTTAGTGTTTTAGTCAAAACTTGCAACAGCTGCACCCACTGAGTCACTAAAAGAACAGATCAATTGTACGCTGCTGTACCCAATTTAGGTACCATTAATGGACACTATGACCATCTAACAATCAGTGTTTCCCAAAATTGTTCGAGTGGCAATGTATTAGAAGACAGTTTGGTTTCATATCCTAGAGATTCAAATTTGAAATAGTTAGCTGGATCAATACAGCCCTTCTGTTCATCTAGGATGTCACAAATTTTGTATGAGTAAGACTACCATGGACAGGAGCGTTCTGAGCAGAATTTTAAAGAGACCATAACATCCTTCAGAACTTGCAAAAAACACTAAGCACTTAACCTTGACCAAACAGTACTTAGCTAGCATTTTGTAGCATATAGCTGCATTTCAGTAAACTGTTCATACAGTGTACAGGGCTCAATCCTGTAAGTTTCTGCACATCCTATTATCTCACTAAGAATTGACTCAGTGATTCTTCAAATAAGTTGGAAATATCTGTGCTCCAGCACCTGGCTTTGAAGTATTACCATGTTAGAACAAATAAAAATTACTTGTTAGTCATTGTAGCTTAACTTTGCAGGCAGAATCAGATGGAAATAGCCAGATTGAAATTTTATGAAAGCCATGTGCACTTTTTCATCAAACTGCCTGCAGAATAGTGAAGACCAGTATCTGTGAGTACACACTGTCTCTCTAACTTTGGTAAGAGGAAAACATATTTATACTTGCTTACCCTCTTGATATAAGAGCCAAGGAATTTCTATTTAAATCAGTACAGATGTACAACAGACTTGAAATCGGAGAAATTCAAACCACCAGAGTTAATCTATCAGTATTTGTATTAGGGCAGTGTCTTACAGCCCCTCTATTTCCCAATCAAACTCCATGGCTACCAGCACCCCTTGCCCAGTTAGTCATCAGCTGAGCTCCAAGTCTCACTCCAGAGCTCTTCTTGCGCCTCTGGAGCAGTAGCAGTGTTTGGAAAACACTACCACCTCACCTCTCTTTGCCTCGGGGTACACCCACCTCAGTTATGGTTGCATTGACAGCACTGGCCAAAGCAGGAAGGTAAAACTGATCATTACCTTTCCCAAAGAACAACGCACAACAATCTACAGAAGTACTTAAAACAACTCGTTGGGAACTGACTAGTTTCTTACAGAGTTAACAATCTACTGACACTTGAGATAGTTTGAACAAAAACGCAGGCCAAAACACAAAATAAAGTACATAACATAATTCTGTGGTCAATAACAAGAGTGAGATGAATGGAAGACAGCTACATAAAATAAGAGAAAAAATTGCTACAAGGTCACTGCTAGAGAACTGCTGATCGCCATTTAAATGGACAAGAGGATGATTTACTGATTGTAACATAACCTACAAATCCAGCTGCAGCAATATGTTTACCTTTCCTTGTTTCATTTTTACATATGACACACGCTACCATCTGCTGGACAAAGTGCTGAACTAATCCAATAACATAAAAGGTGGCTTTTGGTTTTTTGTTGAGAGAACCTCTTTACCATCATGTTTACCTGAGGCAGATGCAAAACAACCTGGGATGTGTGGAGACCATATAGTGCTGTAAATGACCCCTTCATGGCCTTTAAAAGTGCATAATGACTTCCCCACAGCTGGATCCCACTGAATAAAGTAAAAAAGAAAACTGTTCAATAAGAAAGAAAAACATTCAACACGAAAAGAGAGGGTTTCAAACATTAAAAAAAAAAGCTTCATACATACAGAAAGAACTAAATTAATTTCTTTTTAGCATGTATTATGAAAAGCATTTGTATACCTAAACTGGTATCAACTGAGGGATTAAGCAACACCTCAGTTAAAACAGAATTTCAGCCTTAGGGTAAAAATAAAGAGCAAAAGTGCATCAGTGCTGTTTTCTTAACACAAAGCAATATCAGATCCAAAACATTTTTCACCTTCAGCAGAAAACCAACATACCAGCTTGGCTGTTTGATCCCATGAACCAGACACCACTAGCTGCTCTCCTCTAGTTTGGCTCCAGTCAACACTATATGCCTATAAATGATATAACGGCATAGTTTAGAAGGAGCATTAGAATACAAGTTTGAGACTGTAGTTAGTCAAAGTTTCACAAAATAGACTTGGATTTGCAGACCGAGTCCTAGTCAGCTAAAAAACTATACCAGTCAAGCACCACAAAACTGCCAACAATGTTATTTACCTGAACAAAAATTAAACTTAGCATCTCAATCAGGCATTAAAGGTACATATAGGCTCAGAAAAATATCCAAAAAAGCAGATGGGCCAAACTGAGGGAAAAAAAAAAATTGTAATAAAATCCACATACATCCCCCATCACTAGAAGTCTGCCACCTTAAAAGCTGTAATTCAGACTAATTTCTTATTGCTGATCCATTTTTATGCAATTACCTACAGTCTCCAGTTGCGAGCAATGTAAATGTCATCTCTGTATCTAACTTTGAGGTTTTAGCTGACTAACAATAAATGCTTTTTACTATACCTAATTCTCCTAAGAAATATATGTCATAAAATATACGTGGTTTTCATCTGTTCCTGGTTGTATGACATCTTTTTTTTTTACCATTCAAATCTTCAAACAAGTAAAATAAAATGAAATTAAAACTTCCCCCATTACTAATCATTTCGGCTATTAAGAAATTGCTTTTTTACTGTGTAGTTGAAAAAAGCTCCCTCTTCCTTGACAGCGTATTGTAGAACTGGTCCCTGTCTTAACAAGAGGATACCTTAATTCTATCCTTCACTGCTGATTTTTCAGCTCTGCTGCCTCGCAAAAACAAATCCCCAAGTCTCATGTACAACTTCCATCTTCAAATACACAGTCTCTTTATCTACTTGATGGAAAGTGCATTCCATTCTGTCTAGTTTACCTCACACCAAAACGGCTCAATAAGCTGCAGCAGGACATGGACCATTTCAGTGTTAAGGGAGAAAAATATTAGCTAAAACAATTTATTTGCTTCACTTCCTGATCCAATCAGATCTTCCATGACACTTCTTAGAAATATAATCACTACCTACCAGTAATAGGTGGCACTGCTTTCAACAGCTGGGCCACTAACCACTGAGGATTTGTACTCCACCTGGGATAATCTAGTCCTAGCACAGCACTGGATTGATCTGCAAGTCAACATGACTAGAAGCTGTGTTTGTTTTGGATAGATGAAACTGTTTATTAAATTACAGTAACCCTGTTTTGAAGGTGAAAATGCTTCGACCTGTGTCACCAGACAAAAAAGCAGAGAAGATGAAAGGAAAAGAAATCCAGCAAACACCAAAGTCTTCTATGGAAAGTGTCCTGTGTGAAAAAGGAAATCGAGGTAACATTTAGCTACTTCTGAGCATTTTCCTTCCTAAGAAATAATATGGTCTATGCTAGATCTAGCTTAAATTAACTGTTTTTCACCTATTTGCTTATTTTCCATAAGTGGAAAGCAACCACTGCCCACAGAAAAAGAAGGTGCATTATCTGCAACTGTCCTTTTTTATTTTACAAAGTCTTGCTTCCCACATACTGAAAGCCATATTGCTCTGGCCCCATTCTGTACTAGCTCCCTTCCTTGAGGAGCTTATAGTCCAAATCTACAAGACACTGTGACAGCACTTGACAAAAGCCAAATAACCAAATAACTAGAGGTAATTATTTTGTTTGTTTTGCCAAACCATGCCTTTACCTCTTGACTTTTCTACTTTTGTTAGCTAACTAATTGTAGTACAGCTCATTAAAACATCCTCCCTGCCAACCTGACTCCTCTTACCAAAATAGTAACAAAGGAGACACACAAGTACTGCTACATATTCTAAGAGTCGAAGACATGACAGTTCTCCGAAGTGCCTCCTGAGCTCCTCACATACATTAGCCTCTCTCTTTATCCCTGAATTTGTGTGATGGCCCGTGTTCAACCCCTAAGCCGCTGTTGTTTCAAAATGCCCCTAAATGCATCACTACACAGTATGCCTCTTTCACCAAACAGCTCAGTAGAAGTGTTTGGTTCTCATATTCATGTTCAAGATTTTCCAGAAATAAATACATCCCTGGGAAATATGCACCTGTATCACACAACTCATGCAGCCTGTACCGAACACACGGTAGTTGTACTGCACAGATAAAGCAAAGAGCACATACAGCTTGCAGCTCACTTCCAAGCTATCAGCACACAGATCTGCTGTGCACGTGTTGACACACAGACCAGTGTGCATATGGCAGACATGGCTGGGACTGCTCAGCGCTCTGCAGCTGCAGCGGAGGCAATGGGACCTGGGCATATTCTCCTCCAGGCAAGAATTACAAATAGAACAGACAAACAGAACAGACAACAGGCTCAGAAAAAGCAAGAACTACTGTCCATTTGGCATGTGACAGGTCCAGGTAACAGGAAGAGAATGAAAAGAAGATGGTGTGGAGAACCAAGTAAGGTTCACTTTTATTCTTTCCTTTTCATGCTGCCATTCAACGTAAATTTGCAGACAATTCAATAGAAGCTGTGTTGATCAACTGGGGAAGATAGTGCTTTATCTTCATTTATAAAATACATGAACACTAGTTTATGCCTTAAGAACAGCAAGAAATGCCTTAGGCAAGAGGAAAAAACAAGGGGGGAAAATGTAAAACCATAAAATTGCATTCAGAATAAATGTTCAGTTGTCTTACATTCAAGTGAGACTGCGCCAAAACCAAAGTAAATTAGACTAATTTATTCATGAGATTCAGCAGTTGGTTAGTGCTGGAATAAAACTCACTGTCCTTTGATAATACAAATTCACTTCTAAATTAAAAACACACGTTCTTTTTGTGAAGGGACAATGATCTCATTTGGAAAAGATCCCTGTCAATCTTGCACTAGAAATAATATAAAATGCAGTGACGAAATCGTCATTAGAAATGTCAGATGAGGTTTAAGAATTAGGAAGGTAGTGAGAGCACTGTTTGCCAGTGTTTACCACAAACTATTAGGGAAGTTCCCTCTGAGATCTTACGTCTTAATGTAAACTTATAAAGAATAAATATAAACCTTTCATATCTCACAATAAACACTCAGCCCGTGTTTCCTACACTGTCTTTCTAATCATGGTTGAATATGCCCACCTCCCCATGCTACCTGCTAAACTAAGACTTGGACACAGAAATGTTTACTTCACAAACAACAGATGGTGTAGCATAACCAAAATAAACTTACTGACAGAATTTCAACGAGAAAATGACAGAAACAAAATAACAAAAAATTTGGTACTTTGCTTCACCTCCTTACTACTATCAGCTTTTGAAAATTATCATAAAATTCTCAAAATCTTGTATTTACACCATATATGTACTAAACAAAAGTAGCAAAACTACAAAGAAACAAGTTACAGAAGATGGACTGTTGTATAACTGCAGTCACTCAGCTTTTAGCTTTGTACTTCATATCTGAAAAAATCTTAAGGTTTTTGTGAACACAACTGAATTTCTTCCATCATTTTTATTAACTACATATCTACTAATTTATTTTATTGAGACTGTTGTCATTTAGCTAAAGTAGCAGTAATCCAGGCTAAAACTGATTGCATTCGAAGTTCAAAGACTTGACAGAAGTGAGTGGAAAGCTGGAAGGAAAGCTTAAAAAAAAGGGTAGAAAAATCACTTTGGAGAAAATATATGTAGTACAGTAAAATATCCTTAAAACTATGCAAATACATTTATAAACCTGAACATAACATTATTCTCTACGCATACAACACTGCATACTAAGATTTTAGGAAAATCAAATGCAACAGTTATCATATCAAGGCTAAAAAAATCATACACACTGTCCCAACATTTGACTACAGGATCTGCAGGATCTCACAGATGCTAGGGTGGAAAAGCATAAGCAGTTCTGGGTGCAACAGAAGTCCTAAGGATCTGCATAATGTGTATCACTCTATAACCTCAAGGATAACACTGATACATCAGCTACCTGATTCTGACCTACCCAATGCGGGTTTCCAAAAATCACAGTGTGACTGCAGTAATTTCATACAACACAATGATTACTTAGCCCGTAAGGAATCACAAATGCTATTCTGAATGTATTAGATTTGTGTAATTAAGCTGTACCTACTACAGCATATGAATGTACACAAGAATATGTACAATAGGCAGGTCACTTTATATTCAAAGTAATACTCAAAGTTATTCAAAGTTATTAATTCAAACCACAAACCCAAAAAAAGTTGAAAAATAGGAAACAAAAAGCCACTGTTGATTACAAGATCACAAATAAATCTTAATTATTTAACCATTAGATCATCCATTAAATTTTTTAAGTTTGCCTGGTTTACCTCCAGAGTGTGCTCTTTATAGACTTGCAGTGGACCTTTGGTTTTAGCTGTATCCCAGATTTGCAGAGATCCATCTCCACTACAAGTGATCAACACATGTTCATTATTCTCACTCCACGTCACATCAAACAGGCCATCATTCCAGTCGAAACTAAACAAAAAAATGAAAATATTTGTCTGTGAGAAAGCACAACATAAAAATCCGGACTAGTTACATGCAAAGACAGTATTTCTTTAAATCGCCCTTTTTACCATTCTAAAGAATATTTTTATATGAGTTCCAGTGACTCTTCTTACAATTATAACTTACTTGCCATAATGCTAACATCTAAAACTGTATGACCAAATAGTTAGAGCATAAATGAATCAAGGACCTTTCACACACAGAGAATGAACTCTGATTTCAGTCTTGAACTTGCCATGCAAACAAAGACAGAGGTACAAGATGTCTCGGTCTGATCTATGGTTTCTCCACGGTGCTTCTACATAGGTAGGAGTCCTTTGTTTATAAAAATTATGGTAAAATAAGAAATAAAAGTGTGTTGGGAGAGCCCTATCCAATTCACAACACCATCAGGAATCTGATTCACAATGAAAAACCAATGGAAACACAGTAATGAACTTACTGAAGATCTCTACACTCCCCTAAAAAGGCTATTAACACACCAACAATTCATCACACGGGATCTGGTACCATATATTAATTGCTCCACGACAACTATCAATGACTGTGCTGCTATCTGATGGCAAATAAAATTTATTTATTCCCTCTTCACTGAAGGTTTAGCTAAGCTGTGGTTAAACTTCATGGCACCTTGCAGTAATGATGAGGGAAAGGCACGCACATGGAATGCTTTGACAGCAAAAACAACAGTCAGGAAGTTAAGAGGACTCTCTACCACAAAGTCAGTGGACTCACTAAAAACATAGAAATGAACAGTACTAAGCCAGAGCACTTAGCAGAAGTAACAGAGTGCTGAACAGCTTCAAAGAGTCTTGCTTTATAATTATGAATGAAAAAAAGTTTCTCTGAGTATGATCAACTATTTTTTAAGCATTTCTATTTCAGCCCTCTTAATCTAAACAGCTGCTGTTTCAAAACTTTCCTTAAAAAAATTTTAAGTCAATGACAGTCAAGTATTAAACCCTCTCCTTTTTAACCTTTCTCCTCCTTCCATCCAGAACGAAATCAACCTCCTATCATATGCTTAGAATATTTAATCTCCTAGGAAGGACCCCCATGACTTTATGTACCTTCCTGCTCTATTTTCAGTAGAAATCAATCATAAGGGCATAAATTTAGGTGGCAAGGCACTGTTCCTAAAAAGCTAAAGCTTATAATTTCAAGCTAGGGCAGAGAGACTGCTTTTAACTTACACTGTCAGTTTTCTATAAAATGGTTTACACATGGAAATAGCACAAGCCAGATGACCTCCCACAACAAAATCTACGCAATGTAAGCGTATCCTCTGTGTTGTATGTAAATACATTTATATGTAAATACAAAGATGGGTATTCAGTAAATACGTTAGCATAGATACAATACTTTATATCACTAACAACAACCCAAAATACTTGAGTTCTGTCTTGTACTCACAACTATACAGTAAGTTTTTCTCTTTAAAAAATAAAAGATAGACTTCTTACCTCCTCAGCAGAACAATCCCAGCTTCATTTTGTTCCAGCACTGCCAGAGTTCCACAACCTAAACCAGCAAAATAAAACAAAACATCACAACTAGTTCCCCTAGTGTGATTCTCCAATGTGCAAATGGAAAGGGCACCTGAACTTTAAGAGACCAAACAATTAGTTGCACAATTAAACATCTTGTGGTCTCGTGTTCTCTAAAGCAGTAATTCATTTAGATCAGATAGTTTTGGTTTGATTTTGGTTTTGTTTTTTCCTTCACTACAGTACATCTGTAGGTGAGGTTGAAAAAGACTCACTTATAAAGGATAAAAGTGCATTTTATGGGCCTCATGTGACAGACATACCAACGCGGGATTCCCTTTTGTATTTCTGATAACACAGCAGACCAGACAGAACACTTTTTTCCCCCTCCTGAATCTAGTAATACAAACAGAGCTCACCAGAAACGAAACAAAAAATTCAGTTTTGATAAAAAACACACAGGTTCTGCTTTCCCCTTTTCTTTTTCTGTTTTGACAGTATCTTAATAGGATATTGTCAAAGTAATTCCACGCTTGAAAACTCTATTTAAAATGAATGTTTTGGGGAGCAATACTCCCACTAAAAATGAAAAAAGTCCCAGTATTGAGGAACATTCAGCCTGGCCCTTCCACGGGGCCGCAGGGTTGCCAGGGCCTGCCTGGGCACTCAGGTATTGAGACAAGAACGGCTGAAACTACAGAATCACAGAATATTCTCAGTTGGAAGGGACTCACAAGGATCATCGAAGTCCAACTCGTAGCCCTGCACAGAACACCCCAGGAGCCATGTACCTTAGAGCCTTGTCCAAATACTTCTTGAACTGTCAGGCTTGGTGCTGTGACAACTTCCCTGGGGAGCCTGTTCCAGTGCCCAACCACCTCTCGGGAAGAACATTTTCCTAAGAGCTAACCTAAACCTCCCCTAAAACAGCTTCGTGCTGTTCCCTTTCGTCCTGTCAGTGTAGAAAGTATTTTCAGACATTTTATTCACCATGTGTACGTCTTTACTAGTGTATTTATTCTCGACCCTATCAAATGAGCGCTCCTCCGCGAGGGCGCTGTGAGAACACACGGCAGCAGCGGGCTGGGACTCGGGAAGCGGCAGATCCCAGGGGGCTGGGGGCGGCACGAGCAGCTCCCGCACCAACCCCAGCCCGGCCGCGGGGCACAGGCGCTGTCCCACAGCAAAACCAACGCAGCGTAAAGGGAAGTCGTCCCCAAACGCTTTTGCAGACACCGTCCGCCCTTCCGCACACCCACGTTTCAAGCCTCCTCCTTCTCCTCCCGTGAGGAGCCACGTTCCCGGTCACCCCCGCCGCCGCCGCCCCCCGCACCTGCCATGCCGTAGTACTGCGCGGCGGCGCAGGCCACTCGCCCCGGCCAGTACGGCGAGAACTCCGCCGCGTAGCCGTGCAGCCCGGGCAGCCGCAGGGCCCCGCCGGCCCCGCCCGCCATGGTGCCCATGGCCCCCGCCCGGACCTCCGCCGAGCCGCGGAGGAGCCGCCGCGCCACGGCCCCGGCCCCGGCCCCGGCGGAAGCGCCCGCCCGTCGGGCGTTGCCGGAGCCGCGGCGCCGCCACCGCCATCTTTGGCGATGGCGGGACCGGCCTGGGCTGTGCCAGTGCGGCAGCTCGGGAGAAACAAGCCCTCGAAATCGCCTTCTCGGTGAGCACGAGAGCCCTTCCAAATTTCAAGGACAGTCCGCTCTTTTTTATGCCTCGTAAGACATAAATCAGCTCGTTGTATGAGCATCAGCTTGAATACACGAGATGTTTCAAAGAATGCATGTTATCTGCCATTTTTCTTTTTAGAAAGACTTAAGCTATTTCATTCTTCAGGTTTTTTAAATAGATCTGCGTATTTTTTCATTCTCATTGGGCAGTTATGCCTTATGGAAGTCCTTCTATGAACAAACTTCTTACACCCATGACAACTTCTTTTTAAGTCAGCAGGAATTTTGCCTTTGAAAGGAAGAGACAGTGGGGGTGTTCAGCCTTAGAAAATTAGTATTTCAGCAGAGCAGCAGGTGCAGCTTTTGCTGTGTTATAGCCTATCTATATGTCCTTAAATACATATATATGTTCTATATATGTATCTATATCCTTTTAAAATACACATATAGATAGATATATACAGAGATTATTCCATTTGGACACAGACTAATTAGTTATAATGACCCGTCTCTGTATTTAGAGATAAAAACGCCAGAGTATTACTTTACACATTTGGAAGGTACAGCAAAGGCAAATCAGGTTATTTAATCAAGGTTACATCATGGAGCTTGGAGCATACTTCTGCTACTTAGCCTTATATTTAAAATTAAACCTTGACTACAAAATTTGTTGTAAAGCCACAGAAATGTCCAATTGCTTAAACTGGAACTCAGATGCAGAACACTGAATTAGGAGTTCTACTCATTCTTTGATTTCATGGTAAAAATGAAAACAAATATGTTTATCAAGCAGCCTCCAGGATTTTAGAATAAAATCAGTTCAAATTCACTGCAAGTGAAGCTCAATCTAATGTATCCTTTGCATTATCACAGCAGCTCCCAAATCCTCTCAACTGGGAATTTATAGTCTTAATTTATTGATGGATATCTCATGAGATAATGTTTTTTTAGCCTTGGGGCAAAGGAATACCTTACAGAATAAGCTGCTCCAGGCCAAAATCAACCAATTTTACCCTCTGTGGACTCTTTTTACATCAATTTATCTTTTTGAAATGCAAGTTACAAGACAGTTTTCTGAGCAAGTGTTTTTAAGGTAATTGTCCCCTTTGTGACTGGGATGTCAGTAACAACCCTTGAAAAGATACAGGGCTACTGCAGTGGTGCAGTAAGTAAATTTGGACTCTGCCATTTGTAAGGTGTGTGAGTCAAGTGCTTGATGGTTTAAAGTCCAGTTATTCTATGGACAGTTTATCACTGAATTGGAAAGGTTTCATCAAGTGCATTGTTCAAAAGTAGTTGATCTTTTGTAATGAGTGAAATTCTGCAGAGAGGTTACACAAACAGGAAGCAGTTCTTATTGGTGGCCCAGCTTTGTTTAAAAGACACGATTAAAACAAGTTTTGTAGACATAAAGATCAAGAAGCGGATAAAAGGTTAAAGGGAGGTCCTGCGAGAAAGACTAGTTCCCCAAACATTTTTTTCACAAACAAACTTGTGAATTCAGGTTTTGAAGATCCTAAGAAGTAGAAAGCAAAATAATACAGCAAGTGAACATATTTGCATAGGACAGTTCCAAGGTAGAGAGAATAACAACTAAAGGAACAAAAGCTATTTTACAAGCAAAGAGAGAAAGGCCCAACAAACAGAGTTGCTAAACATGACTATATTTCCTCTTCACCCTCTGGTCATCTGAGTAAATTAAAGAAACATAAAAGACTGCTAATCATAGTAGCACTTTATATGCAGCTATTGAAAATGGGTGGTCTACCAGCCAGCTCCTTCCACCGAGTAACACCAATCACAGAATCAATTAGGTTGGAAAAGACCTCTGAGATCACTGAGTCCAGTCTGTGACTGAACACCACCACATCAACTAGACCATGGCACTAAGTGCCACATCCAGTCTTTGCTCAAACACTTCCAAGGCCAGTGTCTCCTTCACCTCCCTGGGCAGTCCATTCCAAAATCCAATCATCCTCTTTGTGAAGAAATTCCTCCTAATGTCCAGCCTAAACCTCCTCTGGCACAGCTTGTGACTATGTTCTGTTATCCTGTCCCTGGTTGCCTGGGAGAAGAGGCCAATCCCCACCTGCCTACAACCTCCTTTCAGGTGGTTGTAGAGAGTGATAATGTCTCCCCTGAGCCTCCTGTTCTCCAGGCTGAACAAACCCAGCTCCCTCAGCTGCTCCTCATAAGACTTGGCTCCAGTCCCTTCACCAGCTTTATGTCCCTTCACCAGCTTTATTGCCCTTCTCTGGAATTGCTCCAGCACCTTAGTGTCCTTGCTGAATTGAGGGGCACAGAACTGGACACAGGACTCACTGGTGAGGTGTGGCCTTAACAGTGCCTAGTACAGGGGAAGAATCCACACGGATTCTTCCAAGCAGACAAATCCTATGTGCAGCAGTAGATGGCAGCCATGTTCCATGCAAAAAACCGAGTCTCCTCAGTTGCAGGAAAAAAATCCCCAACTACACTGAAATTGTTGTTTTCCTAACCCAACATAATTTCAATTAAAAAAAGTTGCTTAGTATGTAACTTTTAGGCTGTATTTATGCAGCTGTCATTTCTCTACGCTCAGCTCGGAGTGCTACCCCTCCTAAACCTTAGAATAGGTGGTTGAGATGCTTACAGCAGCATTTTCACCCTTTCAGTCTCAAGAGTTCTGTTCTGTTACAAACATATGTCCCTCATTTCATCAGCTTGCTATCTGACAGCTAGCTTAGGTGTGAGCTGAGCTGGTAACCATGACCGCTGTATATGCCAATCCTTCCAAAACCCTTGCTGGTCATCAGAAACAGTAATCAGGTAGGCTTGGGTCCAGATGTTTAAAGAACTTATAAAAAGAGCTTTTCTACCAGAGAAAGTAGAATGTGAGCCGTTCCTTCACATGCCAGGACAAGTAGCTTACAACACTGAAGATACCCAGGGACTGGGTTTACTGAGTAAAATTTTTTCTTGTCTTTTAGCTATTGAACCATTCATTAGGCTCCATGCCATCAAGATTTTCTTCTGCAAGTGATTGCTCATATTGAGTAATAGAAACGTAGAGGTGTTCCCAGCTGAAATTCCCATACCGTCATAAAGCTTTAAGAAAAGCATTAAGGTTCATTATAGGATTGCAAAACTGGCAGCAGGGAAAATAAGCAAATGAAAGTAAGCAAGGGGGTTGCAGGAATGAATGAAAAGGAAAAGGCTCCCTGCATATGGGGAAAGTAAGGGTTGTGGCGTTTGGAAGGAAGAGGCAGTTAGCACAGAGCCTTTTCTGGAAGTCTAAAAAACAACAAAAGAAGCAAGAGAAGGGAAAGGGAAAGACACTGGTGCAGAGGAAGATTTAGACAAGGTGATTTAGAAAGAAATGGAAAAGAGTATGAAGCAAGAACAGCACACATTCTTCACCATGCTCACAGGAAAAGGGCCTCAAGGATGGTCCTGACTAGTGAAATATCCATCCCTGCTGATGTATCCACCTTGCTCAGTCAGGTTTTGCTGGCTGCCGTCTATGTGCACCAGGCCATAATTTGGTAAGCAGATTCCTCACATTATTACTGTTCCATGATTAGCTGCATCCCTACACAATGGCCACCAGCCTCTGTCTATCTGCCCCTTTGTACAGAAATATCGCTTTAAATGTTCAGTGTAATTGTAAATTTACCTTTTCTTAAAGATTGGCAAAATATTACCTTCTCCCTATTGAACTTAAAAGCTACTTCTCATTGTCTACAGTGATATATTTAGTCTGACTTTTAAGATCTTTTTTAGAAACAAGTTCTTTTTATTTCAGTTTAATTGTTTCTACTGCTTGTGAGAGTACTGGCCTAAAACTTACAAAAATTGCATTATGTACTTTTAATATCTCAGATTTTTGTATCTGCAAATTTCTTTAAATTCTTTTTTTTTCTTACGCCGTAATTGAAGCATGCTGGACTCCTGCAAACTTCTTTGTCCTGCTTATCAGTGAAGAGCTTACAGTGTATCTCCAATCTCTCATTCCTATATATTATCCTGTAGTTAAATAAGAGGACCTTAAAGTATGAATGAAATTTAACATCCACTTTAAAGCCAGTATCTGTAGTGATATATTTCAGTCCATTCTATCAATTCCATCGACATTACCATAAACAAAATTCAAAATGCAGGTTATTCTACAGTAATTTTTCTCCCTCTACTAGACACTGATGGCCATAATACATGAAAAATATAGTTTGGACAGAGCTATGTTAAATGTACATATGTTTTAAATTTAATCTCTATAAATCAGGATACATTTGAAATACCTTTTTTGGTCTTGGATCTTGTTTACACCAGTTGGAGCAGCTAAATCAAGCCTGTGGCATCTGTCATGTGCTGTTTGTCAGTCATCAAAAATTGCATTTACATTTGCTACTATTGGTAAACTCTTCGATGTTAAAGTTATAATTATGTTAAAACTAGAGGCCAGTGATTTATAGCTGTAGAAATGCATAATGAAGAAAGGGTCATTATTTCAACAAGTGTACAGCTGACTGCTTGTTACATGTTTTTATCTGTTTCATGTCTGAAAAAAACAGAGCTGGAACAGGACAACACTGAATAGTGATTATATGCAAAGTGGTGCTAAAGATGTTAATTCTACAACTCTTGAGAAACAAGGGAACAAGGTAAGAGTACTTCTGATAACAAATGGAGTGTTATTTTGGTTTTTAAAAAATCCTTGGAATTATCTCCTAATCAAACATGAAAACAGAAGAGCTCCTAAATGATCATTCACTTCAGAGAGCTAACAGATTAAAAGATATGTTTTCACTTTATAAAAGCATCAG